TTGAACTGCCTCCTCTGTACCTTGCCTCTTAAAAGTTTCTACTCTCAACTGTGCTTCTGTTTCTGTGCAGGATTCTGCTGGTTTTCCAAAAGAACAGTCAGGATATAGGAAGGGAAGATAAGGGAAGATCCTACAAATCTTTCTTCCTTCCTTTCCTTCTCACATAAGAGCCCAAATTCTGATTACAGCTTTAAGCTTCTTTTTTTTCTTTGTTCGTGAAAGCATGTCAGAATCTGCTCCTAGGAAAACAAAATACGGACATGATACAACTCGTGTTCATAAAGGGCCAGCTGTACTACTGAGATGGAACTGATGTGCCTGTGACTCTTCATGCTAGGAACAGCAGTTGTGCTACTGATCCATTTTGTTCAGGTGGGTTGACAGGAAGGGAGGCCTCAGATATTGCAAGCAATCAGTAAAGGGAACAGAGATCATGGCAGCTTCTGGTCCAGCAGTGAGGCACAAGAGCTTGAAGAACGAAGCCCACTGCATTCTGTCACTTGCTCTGGTAAAGAATTGGAGATTGGAGTCAGCAGAAGATTCCCTTTTGAAGTTGCTTGTCAGTAGCAGCTGTCATTGGCGTGGCAATGGTTCAGCCCCAGCAGAGAATGACAGCACAGGGACACTCTTGACTTGTTTTGAGAGGCTTCACAGTTGAAAGGTGTGAGAGAAGCACTAGAAAAGATCCCCTGTCCTTTCTCTCCCAGCAATGCCGCTGACTCTTGCTTCTTCACTGGGGAAATTACAAGACAAGTGTTGGACAACTGCATGTCAGCTGTCTGATGGAGCTGCACCTCTGGGGAAGTGTGCAAGAGACCCAGGGAAGGGTTGCTCTCATCTCAGCAGAATCATCAACAAGCTTTCTGTTCCTGTGGTAGTAACTTCGGGCATGGTGCCATCGTACTGTCAGCTGTAAGGAGCTGCTGCCGGGGATGACTGGGGTGCACTCATCAGCAGGTGTCAATCGGCAAAGACGGCCTTTGGGGGAGAGCTTCAGTGGATGTAAATCAAGCAAGCTGGATAGGGCCAGATTGTTATGGAAGTTGGCACAACTCCACTTGTCCCTACAGCAGCTGAGGATATGCACCCTATACTTCACGTACGATTTCTTACAAACACAAAGCAGTGGTGACAGCTCCTCTCGGCATTCTTGGTTGCAGGCCGGGGTTTTGGTGATGTTCTGTGAAACATTTTGTGTAGCAGGAGGCTGGAAAGGGATAGTGCAGCCTCTGAGAGAGAGAAAGAAACTCTCAAATCTGATTTGCAGCAACAAAAAACCTGCAGGCCAACTGGGCTACTCTTCCAAATGAGGTTCATGTCCTACAGTGAGTATGAAGCATACCGGTGTAATTACTGTATTTCCAAGTTCAAAGGAAGGAAAGCTGCTGAATTATGCACTACCAGTCCGGGTTATTGCCTGAAGCTATTAGGAAGCGAGGATGGAGTTTGGCGTCGCAGGAGGTGGCAAATGTCATCGGAGCCCAGCAGAAGGCATGAGGTTGGTGTCTCTCTGATCTCCCTGGGATGTTTCTTCTTTCGCACAAGAAGTGTGATAGCACTGGGGCACGTCCTGGGTGCTGTGCTGGGGGGGTTGGTTAGGGTTTATAAAGCACTCAGATACCTGACAGTGTGGAGGAGGGCAGGATTTCAGAACTCTGTCCCGTGGTCAGTGCTGAATAGTTGCTGGTAATGTAACTGCCGTTATCTGGGTTTGACATCAGCTCTTTGCAGCAATAGCTTTGTCCCAGAGGCATCCTGTTTCTGAATTGTTTACAATTACAAGCTACATTGATTCTCTGTCGCAGGTCTGACGCATAGCACAGTTGCTAAAGCTGTGCTCTGAAGTGCTGGTGTGGCTGTGTGGCCACCAGTCTCTTTCCTGTGCTACTATTGACACGCACTGCAAACCTTGCCTTCCCTTAGGGGGAGTTTCTTTAGAAGATTTGCAATGGTCCTGGATAGGTGTGAAGTCTTAGCAGGAATACATTAATCTGCAGTTCATGTTCTCACAACAGCCTGATACTGCTTATTTCTTCTCCAGTCTGGTTCCCCCTTTTCCTCCAAAAATTCCTTCAGGATTAATTTCCGCAATTTATAGGCAGCAAAGGCAGCTCCACCATAAATCCAAAGGAAGCTGCCTCACATTTCCATGTGGGTCTGTGCAGGACTGGCTGCTGCTGGCAGAGAGCATGCCCTAGTTAGAGGGAATGCCCGCATCCCTTCATGGCTAGCATGTGCAGCTGTGTGAATCTGCTGCAGTGAAAAGAGCAGAAGAAACCAAATGCCATTAGGTGTCTGCTTCTATCTGCATGAAGGGGAAAGACTGCAGCGTGGCTTTAGCACCTCGTGTGTACGTATGGGACAACGGGACCCTCCTCTGAGTGCCTGAGCCATGAACACAGGTCCAGGTTGCTGCGAAGTGAGGCAGAGCACGAGCACTTGATGCATCTCACCCTGCTGTAAGTGCTTGTGCCTCGGTCCTTCCCCTGCTGCAGACGTCAGCCTGCTGACCTGTTCTGTGACCCAGCTGATAAATGAATTCACACGCTAGCTTGTTCCAGGACCTTCCATTCCTGCACACACGGACTGAAATTCCTCACCTCGCTGAAGGCAAGTTCCCAGCGGAGCCTTTTGGGTCTCCATAGGCACCCTCCTGGCCAGAGTCTTTCTGTACCCTCTTCAGAAAGCAACCGATACAGCTCCAGAGAGGAGTTCAGCTTTCAGGCATCCTTGCTCTCTCCCCAAACAGTGGGCTGCTTTTGTCTTGTGCTTGTTTGGGACCGCCTGTTCGTTCTCTGTCTCTTTCCTGCCCCCTCTGACCCAGCTCTCACAGCACCAGTGACTCACAGCACTTTGCTCATCCCTGGGGGTGGTTCCTCTCTGCCCGTAGAGCTTATCAGTGCTAAGTTTCCCTCGTTCAGCTCTTCCAAGTGCTCTTTTCCGTGTGTAGTCCTACTCTGACCTGGCAGCGAGATTTCCCTGGGGGAGGTTTACAGCTCAGTGTGTTTATGGGAGCAGCAGTAAAAATCCGGCCACAGAGATGCTTTTTTCCTAGATTGCCTGCCCTCAATTAGGTTCTCCCAGACTGTAGGGTCTATTAACATGCTGTCTGCAAGCCAATACAGACTTGTTCCACCAGGAACTGGCTTGCTGTCAGTACTGGACCCACCTGGCTTCAGGTCAGGCAGCGCCAACTCTTCTTGCCATTTTTAGCACGTTCCACTGAACCCATTAGTGTTTTGTGCCCCGGGGGGCTGACAGGGAGGGATAATTTACAGGGTCTTGCTGCGTCCATGCCAGTTTTACTCAGCTAGCTAAAATTCAGCTCCAGCAAGGGCTCTTAGTGTTAGAACATGAGGGTTGGTTGTAGGGCATGGGGAGCCCAGTGTGGAGGGATCCACCTGTGTTCCCATTAGCTGCAGCAGGAAGAAAGGGGCTGCAGGGCTGCGTTTGGAAAGCCTGTTTGAGGGGACAAAGCTTTGTTGTCCTCACAATAGCTCCCAAAAGCTGTTTACCAGCTGGAGGGCCCTTGATTTATAAAACCACCTCTGAGTAAATGCGAAGTCACTGTAGCTTTTTTCTACAGAGCTGTTTTGTGGTTGCTGCTGGGAGCCTTGATCTGGGAACCAGTTCTGCTAGAGAAACCCCTCTGGATGCTATTGCACGGAGTATTTTATCTTTGGCTGGTGCTGGCCAGAAGGAGATGTTCCGATGTTGGAGTGGAGCAAAATGATTCCCTCAGGCAAGTTTCTGCTCTTCTTGCCTCGGAAGAATCACGAGGGCCGGCACGGCGGGCAGCATCAGGTGCCTCTTGGAAGCCTTGTCAGCAGCACGGAGAGTGCCTGGGAGGGCAGCTTGTCAGAATGCCATGTGTGGCATAAGCCTTTTAAAGGGGTTCAGCAGCCTTAGCTGTAAACGCTGTGTGCAGGAGTGGTGTGCCACTCAGCACCCCATCTTACGGTGTCTCTGTAGCTGGGGTTTCTGAGAGCCGTTGTCAGCAATTTGCGTGTCTCTGGCACCTCTGCCTGCCCGTGGCCTGCCTCAAATATCATTCCTGTCCCTACAGATCCCTTCCATGGGGATGTGTGTGTGATCACGGGACAGTTGCACACAGCCTGGGCTCAGTGCTGTTGCTGCAGCTGACCAGGGAACCCAAGCGATTTGGTCCTTGGGATGCCAGCTGGATGTGGTCTTGGAGACATAACCCTATGGGGGGAGAAGAGGAGTGGCAGGGAAATGGGGTTCAGGCCAAATTCAGACCATAGGTATGAGATTCAGCTAAAAAGGTTTAAATGAGATCTGTATCAGGCTTGCAGTCTGTGTGTTAGTCATGTTTAGAACAACCGTGTGAGGGGCTGTTCCCAGAAAGTGATAAATGTTATGCCCAAGCTGCTCTGTAATAGGAGTGACCCCTCCTTCCCTCACATGTAGAAATACTGAGATAGGATTCACACCCTCTGAGGATCCTTCAGGAAGAACTGGGGCTCAGGAGCTCAACCCCATAGAGAGTGAAACAAGACACAGTCAGTGACGTATCTTTCTGTTGATGCTTGTAGCCTTTATTCGGTCAGTGCTAGAAAGCATATACAATGAATTCCCTTTCCTCCCTCTGGTTATCTTCTTACTTGTGAAGTTTTGCTATCTTTCTAATTTATTTTCTTGTAAATTTTGCTTACATGAGGGATTTGTGGCAGTGGAGTGGCAATTGCCTTGACTGAATAAGCTATATCAGCAAAAGGACTCTCTTGGTACTGAAACCTGTCTACAGGAGGGCTCGTGTTGGTCTTCCAGTGTTGAGCAAGCTTTTTTTCCTGATAATGTTATAATTTCTTAGTGCATAGAGGGAAATTCTAGTGAAAACCTCCTTCTCATTTCTCCCAGGTTCATACTTTCTCAGTATTGTGTAAGATCCAGCCTTGCGGGTACTAGAGTACCAATAAAAAGTAGGCTTTTGACATTAGGAAAATACAAGAAATTTAATGCAACAGACAGGAGAGAGGTCCAGCATAGATGTCTGATGTGTTAGTTTTATTTAAAGATGGTCTCTTGGTGCTAGAGTAAGAAATGTTCTTTAAAAAAATCAAATAAATAAATAAATAAATAAATAAAAATAGGAATAGCTTTCTGTTGAGGAGTTTAGGAAGCATCTGGCTTTCATCTTGGGAGGAACAGGTACTGTAAAGCATTCTTCAGAGCACAGGTAGGGAAGCTGTCCTAGTTCTTCCTGGAACCTGCAAGCCAAACATGCAATAAATGTTACTCGAATCTGTTTGTCTCCCAGTATACACCGCTATTGCCAGCAGTGCTTTTATCCATCAAATCAATAGACACAGTTTAAGTTTCACACTAGCTTAAGTTTCATGCTGAAGCGAACGCCTTTCTCAACCTCTTTAACTATTTCTTATTATTAAAGACTTAAATGAGAGCCTGCTCCTCCCTTGCTGCCTAACACAGCTGTTGTCTGTTCTGTTCACCAAGCTGGCTTAGGCTGGACTCACCATTGCATCCCATTCCACTCAGGGAGCCAATTCTATCAATTCTCCTCCCGAAGCAGCCAGAATCTCTCATCATCCTGGGCATCTGCATCCCCCTCAGTCTCTTGAGGAAGGGGTCCCTGTAGGACAGAGGGGTGTTGGGTGCAAGCTTGGACTCAGCCTTCTGGTCATCACTGTCATCTATGAGTTCTGGTGGGATCTCCTCCTGGGTTTTGGGCTCTTGCAGGTCAGGATTGGACTCCAGGGCTTCAATCAGTGCAAACTTATCCTCCAGTCGCTCCAGCAGAGCCTACAAGAGAAAAATTAGTTTCATGAAACTCAGAGTTTCATGGTCGTTTGCTAGTCCTTCAACTCATCTGATTCTGCATTCACTTATGATCCTAAATCCACCCCTAGGGAGTCTCTCAGGTTGGATTCCAGATTTGCTGGTGGTTCTTGAGCTCGGCAGTAAATCCACTAATTCCACACTAATTCTGTCTATAGGTAGGTCTAGCGAAAAGCTGCTAGAAGCTGTCTTCCACAGCAGTGTTTCTTACTGGCAAGGTTAAAACAGCTCTTGGCAGAGAAACAAAGTAAGGTCTGTCTTGCACCGGGACTTAAAACTCAATGCATCAGTGGTACACAGTCTCAAAGTACTTCTAAATCCATAATGACCCCCATGTTCTCAGAAGCTGTCTGCAATGCTGCTTGTCAGCCATCGGCTTTCTCTTCTTTTTCTGCCTAAGATCACCTGCTTGCTTGTCACCACTTGCTGTTGCAGTGGCAGCACTGTGAGGAGCTCTTGGTGTTTCCACTAATCCCTGCATTTGGAAGTCACCCTCCTCAGCTAGCTGCTGGAGATAGCGGAGCCTGGAGGCATGAGGCAGTTTGGCTGACACTGTCCTAATTATTTTAGGGAGTTCGGTCTTGGTCTGATGCTGCAATAATCTGGCTTTAGCTGGCCAAGGAAATGTTGAAGTTGTCAGATTTGCTCTTGCAAGACTGAATCTTAAGTTTGTATTGCTTCCCAAGCTGTTGTAATAATGTTCTCTAAGGATCACCCTCTGTTCTCTAAGTATCACTCTCTGTTCTCTACCCGTAACTCACAAGTTTGCATGTGGTAATTTTGTAGCTCTAGGGTCTTTTCTGGATGAGTCCCAGTACACAATGATACTGCTCCTCTCGATTTGCGCAAGTAGAGCATCTAAAAGTCTGCCTTTGGGTGTTCTGCTTTACCTCCTCAGCTCCCACCTACCTGCTGCTCCATTCCCTTAAACCCACAAAGCTGGAGCAGTGTGACTGCCCTGCTCCTCTGGACCTGCCATTTAGCAGGACAGACAGAAGGAGCCCACCCAAAAGTTGTCTACTTATTCTTATCTTATAGAGCTACTGCAATGCATTACTTTGTTCTCTGTCTGGGACATTGCTCCAATTCATTCAGAAACCTGAAGGGAGGGGGCTGTTTAAGAAAATAAGAACCAACAGCCCAAAGCAGACAGCCCACATCACAATTCTGTTTCCCCAGGAGCTTGGGTGATCCCAGCGCCGGAGGGGATCGCTCTACAAAGCTTCGTTAAACCCCTGTGAAGAACTGAGACTTCATCCCCCAGCATGTGGTCGCTAATGCAGCTACCTGGTTGTACAACAGAAAGGCAAAGACACCACCTCACGCTCCTCTAAGCCCCCTGAAAGTTTAACCTTGCAAAAGCAGAGAGTCCTCACCTCCATGCTGGCCAGTTCTTTGGCGGGGCTGAGGCTGTAGATGGGGTTGGCTCTGCTGGCCTGGAGCTGGATGAGAAGCAGCAAGAGGAAACCACAGGAAAATGAGCCTTTAGTGTCCATGGTGCTGCCTTCGTTCGGAATATGGGGCGTTCGAGCTGTTTCTTCTGAGATGGCTCTTCAGGTCTCTCCCTTCCTTGTCCTATCCTCTCTCTTCTGAAGCTTCTCTTTTATACTGTTTGGGTGTGATCTCTGCTTCCTAGGTTATCAGTGGATTTATCTGGGGCGCATTCCAGTTCTCCTGCAGGCATGCAGCTCTGTCAAGGGAAGATTCCCTTTATTAGCTGTCATTAGGCAGCAGCTGCTGTTGCTGAGGAATGTATGTCACAAGTCAGTGATTTCATGTCACTCCCCCTCCTCTTGATACCAGGCGCTGTGATTACATAGTCCAGTTGGAAATTCTTCGCAATTTTCTTTCAAGAGACCCCTATGGTCAGGTTTATGGAGATGGGAAAGAACCCCGAATCGGCTCTAAACTCTGCTCATTCCGAAGATTTCCATAGGGAAATTACCTTTTATAGGGAAAGCAAAAAAAGCTTTTCAGATGAGCGCTTGGTGGAGAGCGAAGGCTGAAGGATACTTTTAGGACACCTAAAGTATCATGCTCACTTTCCTTCTATATATGGCATACGCGTAGCCACCGCATACCACCGAGTGTGCTGAAAATCTCAGGTTTGGGCCACTTCTCTTTCCCCATTGCTGTAGAGGTGAGATCACCGTTGAGTCCTTGTATTTGTGTGTTGCCAACAACAGAGGCGCCCCGATCCGCACCTCGTTACAGCCGCTAACGTCTGGACCGACTGCGGGGACACCGAGTGCCTCCAGCCCCCAGGCAAACGACTTCGGCACCGTGGAAAAATTAGTCCTTATTAGCAGCTACACATTTAAATCAATGGGATTTCTTTAGACTTCGATGGTAAGGCTTGACCTTGCATTAATAAAATGTAAAGAAGAGACAGTCAAATTTCTTGTACTAGTTTCTAATGCCATTGTACCCGAAAGCAACTTGCTCGGCAAGAACTTGAAATAAACGGCTTTCAGTGTTATTCAGCAAAGGTATTGGAATCTGTCCCTAAGGGAGAAAGAGTGAATGTTGAGTGTATGTTTGTTTGTTTGGGGAGGGGGTTAAGTGAAACAGTTAATATTTTTTTTTATATCTTTTGAAAAGCATTTATTTGTTTCTTCGAGTGCTGAAGCTTTCAAGATTAGCTGAAAACTGCCTACGTTTAAATGAGAAATTACAAAAATGCAGATTTGCTGCAATTTCCTCCTCCAGCATTGTTTTTCTGTGTACAGTGCAAATAAAGGTTGCTTTTTTTACATAACTATGGGAGATTTCTAAATAATAAAACGTATTGTTTGTGCTGCATTTTCCTAACATTTCTTGTTATTTGACATGGAAACAAGAACAAATATATAAGGAATTTGTATACAAATATATAAGGAAGTTGCATACATAACAATTTTTTAACTATTGATATTAATATAGATCTTATATGAATGAATCTCCAAGGTAGAATTGCTAAATAATAGTGGAATAATAAAATATTTTTCATGCCCTAACATAGTGTTTGTATACAAACATGCACACAGTTCACATGATCAGCTTCCCAAAATTATACTAGAAAGGACATTCCCAAGGTTGTGAAATCAAGCTCAAACACTACTTTTTCCTAATATAGCATGAAGTCAGCTCAACTCCGCATGTGTTATTATAAGATCACTCCCTATTTTTTCCTCAGCACTTTTTTTTCTCAGTACATAGAGGCAGTGTTCATTTCTTTTATTATTCTGTCTTAACCTGATCTTATTTAGTCCTATTCAAATTGTGGTTAAGAAAGAATTAAGAACCTGATAGCTTTTTTTATCGACACTCCATGCTGCACTGTCTGTATAATTCACTAATTAATTACAAGTATTTTCTTTCTGCTCTTCTTGAGTGTGTATTCGTTTATTTGCACAGGGCATTATCTTCACTTTCTAAACTGAGAAAGGTGAGAATTCGTTAATACTGAGTGTCCAATTTAAGATAACTAGGGTCTGTTACTGTTCCATTTTTTTGTTTCTTTCAGCCTCCCACACGCCAAGTATTCTCTAGTGCTGTCTCTGTGCTAAAAAAATGCTGTCGATTGATCTGAGTTTTGCCTGAGAGCTCAGCACATTTGTAAAGCAGCCCCCGGAGGCACAAACCCAGCTATAAGAAACTGAGGAACATGATATCAGTCCCAGTTATGAAATATTTAGCTTTGAGTGACCTGTCCCTGTGAAACAATCTAATATTCCAGGATTGCTTTCAATAACCTGGACCAAGAGATACTCCTTTCTTTCACTGGCTCGTTCACTTTCCATCTTCCATATGCCACAGCAGGTAAATGAGATCTAGGGGCTTGACTTCAACCTTGACAGTATTTTTCTAAGCTGGGGATGTCTGTGTGCTATTCGTGTGGGACGTATGAAAGTACCTAGATGAGATAAAATGGCTGACCCTCACAGGAGCTCCTGTGTTTACAAAGCCAAATTCTGCCCTCTATTATCCATCTCACATCTGTGCCAAAGCAAATGGAGCGTAAAATGTCAGAACTCAGCTATAAAGCTCACTTGTTTGTTTGCTTGTGGTATCTCAGTATCATCACCCTTGCAAGGCTTGTACGAACTTCAGGCTTTACAGTCCAGCGATGGAGAGACAAACCCAAGTCATTGCCCGTGCTGCTCTGCTGGCCATTCGATTGGTAAAAACCCCATTGGGAGAGCAGCAGGTTCTTATTAAATGTGTACTGTGACCAGTTTTGGAAGAGGAAATCAGCACATTGTCCCACTCAGCCCCCTGGGGTACGGGACAGGAGGTATGGGGACTTGAGGCTGCATTAGGAAGCAGCACAGGCTGCTGAGAGCAGAGAGGCAAAGCACCAAGGGTGCTGCCCTGTGTCCGGATCCCTGTGAGGAGGAGGATGGTGGATGGACAGAGCTCAGCTGGGGGTACCTCTGCCCCTTCCCCAGCAGGATGAAGCAATGTCCTTTTTTTCCAGCCCCGTGAGGCTGCCTTAAGGGCTGATGTTTTGTGGATCCCTTCTGCCAATACACCTTATTGTACCCGATGCCCTTGCCTGCTGCACATCCTTCCACGGATGTCCATTTCATTGTCATGGTGCAAGTGGAGACTGCTGGAGGGTGGGCTGACAGTAAAGAGCCTCTGCAGTCCTGGGGCAGAGGCTGGATCTGGATTCCTTTCACCCCCTGGTGACCAAACCCTTTGACAAGGCTCTGCCATGCCCTACCCAAGCTCTCTTTCCTTTCAGTTAGGTTAGATTAAGGAGGAAACACAGAGCCGAGGTGGCCAGCGTGGGAAACAAAACCAGAAAGTGATGATGTCTGGTGAGCTGCCCGCACACGGCGATCACAGGACAGGCCACGCTGCAACTGAGATAAGTGGTGCCTCACTTTTTCCACTGGGGAGGAAACATCTTCATCCCAGCCACCCCTCACCGACGGGGCTATGGGTTGGGGTGTGGGGTGGCTGCTCCCGGGAGGGGGCCCCCCTGTCCGCCTGTCCGTCTGCGCAGCCTGTCCGTGCTCCTTGCCTTGCCTTGGGAAGCCGGAGCGGGCTGTGCAGTGGCTCAGGGAGCTTAGCACGGGTTAAGCCGCCCTGCACAACCCCCGGGACGAGGGCAGGGAGGCTTCGCCGAGGCCGGGCTGGGTCGAGCCGAGCCGAGCCGAGCCCTCTGGCGTCTGTCCCCGGTGCTGAAGGCGGCGGCCCGGGGCCCGCAGCTCAGCCCTGCCGGCAGCTCGCTCGGAGAGCCGCCGAGCCCCGTGCCCGAGGGGCTGCTCCGTGCCCGACAGAGCCCGACAGAGCCCGACAGTGCCCGATAGTGCCCGACAGAGCCTCCACCACCCCTGCTGCTGCCGCAGCCCTCGGGCTAAAGCTGCCCCAGACCCGGCGGGATGCTCCTGCCAGTGTCAAGGACCCTCCGTGCAGAGGAGGAGATCTCTGTAGGGGCTTTCCGCGTGCTACACCGTGACCCCAAAACCCCACAAACCACTCTCAGACGGCCACGCTTTGTACAAAAGGTTTATTGCTGAGTACCCAGCCCCGCGGAGGCTCCGAGGGGGTGGGGGGAGCGTGGCTGCCCGGCGGCTGGATGCCGGCCCGGAGGCTCGAGGATGCCGGTCCCGGCTTCAGCTTCTCCTTCTCCTCCAGAAACCTGGAAGAAAAGGGGCGGAGAGCTGCGGGGGTGCCCCAGCGCCTGCCCCTCTCCCCTGGGCTGTGGCAGGCGGGGACGAGCCGCGGGGCAGCGCCGGGGCCGAGCCGGGACCTACGGGCTCTGTAGTGGTTGCATCCCAGCCCCGTCTGAGCGCCGATCCTCTCCATCCTCGTCCCAAAGCAGCCGGAGAAATGCCTCCGTCGGGAGGAGGAGAGGAGGCTCCTCCAGCGGCTCTGCCCCTCCGCCGGCTCGGTTGGGCTGGGGGCCGGGAGAGGGGTCCCCGGCAGGTCCCACTCGGGGCCGCCGTCCTCAGCTCCAGCCTCCGGCTCCTCGTCCAGAGCCAGTTCCCCTTCCTCGTCCCGCAGCTGCCCCAGCGCCTCCAGGAGGTCCTGGGGGAGGAAGGAGAGGGAGGGAAGGAGCCGTGGCAGAGGGACGGGGAGCCCCGCTCCTGCTCCCTGGTCCCCGGCCCGCCCCGGTCCCGGTCCCGGTCCCGGTACCTGCAGGGAGCGCAGCTCCGCGCCGTGCTCACCGCCGGCTGCCTGAGCCCCGGCCCAGCGCAGGACGAGCAGCAGCAGCCAGGCCCTGCAGCAAACAGCCGGCAGCTGCATCCTATCCTATCCTATCCTATCCTATCCTATCCTATCCTATCCTATCCTATCCTATCCTATCCTATCCTATCCTATCCTATCCTATCCTATCCTATCCTATCCTATCCTTATCCTTATCCTTATCCTTATCCTTATCCTATCCCACCCTACCCTACCCCAGCTTGCCCCGCGTTTTTGCTTTGCCTACGGATGCCTCCCCTTATATCCCCGCTCTCTGCCCGCAGGGAGCTCAGCTGCCTCCTGCCAGATCCCCGCAGGAGCCGGAGCCCTGTCCCCCGGCTCCGATAAGGGAACTGGTTACAACTGGCCCCGCAGGTGACCCTCCGGGAGAGGGGGGTTCCCTGGGTGCAGCACCTCCTCCAGAGGGAGAGAACAGCCCCGAGACATCTCCTCCCCTCCTGCAGCACTCATTTTCCCGGTGATTTCCTTCCCCCCCCTCTCTCCCCTCTCCATCACCGGTAGGTAGGAGGTGATGCAGTGGAAACACCTTGCGCTTTCTGCCGGTTTGCTCTGCCTGACATCTGCAGGCACACAGGAGCCGTGAGCTGGCCCAAGCAGGGTGTTGTTTTCCCCTCCAAGAGGTGAGGGATGCATCATTTCTCCTCCGTGGGAGAAAGAAAAGAGGGGAGCTGTCTGTAGCAGTTCCCAACAGTTTTTTTCTTCCCTGTGTAGATATTTTTGTGCTCTGTGAATAGACCAAGGTCTGAGGCTGGCTCTTAAATTTTCCTTCCTTGCAAGTTCATGTGGTGATGCTCATTGCCTTCCTCTGGCATTTCCCCCAAACCCACCCCTCTGTAGCTGAGCCACTAAATTTTTGGTGGGTTAAGTCTGCCTTGAGCAATGCTACAGCTGATCACTTTGCTGGACACGTTCCTAGCTCTCCAGCCATGCCTTGGCTGTAGTAGTGAATCAGTCACCAGCCTCTCCCCATGCTCCACCATTTTACCCATAAATGCCAGTGCATTCTGTCCCTCACAGATGGGGTTGGAGTTAGAAATCCCTATGGAAAAAGTGCTCCTTCCAGAAAGATCGGTGACTTCGCCCAAAGATAGATTTTGTAGGACTTTGGATTTAAGCTCCCCAGACAAAAGCGTTGCAATTACCAATTTGGCAACTGTAACAGGCGGCCACTTTGTATGAAACTTTCTCTTATTTTGCCTCAGAGCTTTGCAGCACTTTCTTATTAACTTTCAGCATCTCTCCTGTGTGAGTGGCAAATTTCAAATATAAATGAGTACAATTTCTACTGGTCCTGGGGTGCAAATCAAGATGACCCTGTTAGATCCTTAGAGAATTCAGTGAGCAGAGCAGCAGACAGGGTCCTTTCAATCACTGCCTGGGTGACATTCGAGCAATTACAGTAAGTCTACTTTCTGCACCCCTTGTTGGCTTAGACAGACACTCATAAATCTCCCTGGTTTCAGTAGATATCCAGTGATTTCTGCTTGGGTTTTTAGCTCAGAGTCTGTCTTTAAGCTCAGCAAAGCCAAAGCAAATCTTGCCTCTGACTTTAGAGAGTTTTGAACCAACCTTTTGTGGACTTTTACTGCCATGTGTTGCACAAGGAGCAACATATATTAAGTTTCTACATCTTCCTCCCCCTTTTGTGTGTGTGTGTGTGTCTTTCTGTTCCACAAACTTGCTTACAGCCGGCATAATTCATCTTAGATTGGAAGCAAACCAGCAACATCAGATGGTATGGGACCACGATCTCTGCATCCAGCAGTCTTAACAGCTGGCAAATTATTTTTTTTTAAGGCATCACAGCAAAGAAGAATTCAAAGAAGAATCTGGCAGAGAGAAATGAAGCACTTATTTTGAAAGTATGGTGCCCAAATGAAGGAAGGAGCTGTTATGTTGATACAGAATGAGAGCAGATAGCTAAGGTGAGGGCATGGAACATCCTCCATTTTGCATAGGACAGGCAGGAGTAGGAAGGGGTAAAGCAGTGAGAGTGTACGTGACCAAGACAATTCAGCCCTCTGATGATAAACTAGACCAAATCTTGATTGCTGCCTAGCATCGTTTATAAATAGATACCCAAAAGGAGACACTTTTGGGAAAGATATCCGTGTGTTTCTTTCTGTGTGGCAGTCACTTCACTGTAGGCTTTTCTCCTCAGCTATGTCTGTAACCCCAGCTGGTAAATTCATGCTTAGCAGAGATGGAAATCACACAGCTAGAGGTGAGCTTCCCCTGTCTGACTGGCATGCTAACTTCAAAGCTTAGCCCTGATTATTTAAATGCTAATAAGACTAAGCAAATTACCTAAAGTACAAACACACCTGGCTTTGGTCCTAGGGATCTAATTAGGGAGCCTTTTATGTGAAATAAATTGTTCTTAGTTTCTGAAAAGTGGCTTTTTAAAATATTCACTGAAAATGCCAGGTGAGAGAATGGCACATTACAAGTTCAGCCTCTGTGGGATTGGAGCTCTTATCGGTCTCATCTTCCGTAGGACTCTGTTCATGAGCGGGCAGCTCAGTCTTCAACCTCTTCTGATCTCTGTTATTTTATTTGAAAATATTTGCAGTGCAGTGTAGCTGAGTTTAGAAACAGGATGAGGATGTTCAGGAAACAGACCCAGCAGCACTCGCCCTTTATTAGTTTTTTTTAGTGTATTCAGTGTTGAAATTCCAACATCAAGAAGCTTTCATGCTTATGAGAATACACCTGCTCCTAGGGTTACTGAGGGGGAGATCTCACACCCAGCATTGTTAGGAAGAAGGCAGTAACCTTCCCATTGTCACCAGCTGTCACAGCACACTAGCTCTTCATTGTTTGACAGTGTAACATCAGGGGGCTGTGTGGATTAACCCTTCTACCATATAGGTTGCACCTGGGCCAGCCTTAGGGCGAGCACGCCCAAAGAGGGAATCTATTTAAGAAACCTGGATGCTTCCTCTCAGGTTTCCTACAAGTAAGCATTTGCCTCTTCTTATTGTGAATTGCTGTGTATTAGGAGCAAATAAGGGAAATTCTCTTTCTGACTGTGTGAAGGTCTGTTAAGTTAGAGCAATGAATCAAATTTCTCTGCTCGTGTTTGTAAGGAGTAGAGGTCTTTGTATGATGGAAGCTGTGGAAAGGGAGAGTTTTATCTGTATGGTCCAACAAGGCTCTAGACCTTCAGGAGGATTTGCCCCTGAATTGCTGTGCAGTCTAGGGGGCTTCCATTAAGAAAAGCTGTTCATGTTGATTGTGCTGCATCGCTGGCATGAAGGTACGCATAGCCTGTCTATTGAAATGTAAATTATGCTGACAAATTGAGGCATTATTTATCTTTTATTCCCCCAATTTAATTCTTCATCTAGTTGATGAAGTGCTTCACATGCTTGTTGTTTTGCTAAGGAAAGGCAGCACAGAGTACAACAAGTGAATTACGTGGCCTATTCCAGTGTTTGAGAGCTTGTGCTCAGAGGTGCCTATGTAAGTGATGAGGCTATTCCTTGCCTGCAAGGGACTGTTTAGGGTGTTTTCACTGTTGCTGCTGATTTGTTATCAAAATTAGCTTAAATATACTAAGTAGCAAACAGCAGAAGACCTCACAAAGACTGATAACTAGAGAGGCTTCAGGATATGTTGTTGGATTTTCTGCTTAGGACTTGTGGCTCTGTCACGTTGTTGATAACCTTGTGAATACTGGTCTGAGGAGGTAAAGATTCTGAAGGCTGAAATAGCCATAAACAGGTAGAATTAACGTTAATTTCTATATATGCAAGAGATTGAAAGGAGTAAAGCTTGCAAGAAAATATAAAGAGCTGTTGGTAGCTGGGGCAAGGGGAGACCCTCCATTAACAAATGATTCTGTGCTTTCTTGTCTCTGGTAGTCAGCTCTTAAGTGTTGAAATCTACTTATGAGCTTGTACTATTAATGTCCTTAATAGAGCAAGTCTGTGGTTAGAAGTGAAAGCTGTATATTGAAACACTAGCAAAGAAGCAAACTTTCCTAGTTTGGCTCTGAGTAGTACTCCAGCAGGTCCTGGATTGCCCTCGGTCCATGGGGATTGCAGTTGGAAGGAGCAGAACCAAAGCATAGAGTCCGAATGATCTGGACAAGTAGAAAGTAGAGTTCTGGATGTTCTGTGCAAGCAGGTTTTCTTAATGAGAGCTGAACTGCCAAAAAATCATAACACATACAGCTAGGGGATTGTTGATAAGCTTGCTTTATGTATATGCTTGAGCTCTGTGTTTTTATCCAGGGGTCCTATTAGGACTAGGCTTATTACTAGAATATTTTCTTCAAGGAGCATCTGTCTTGTGTACAAGAAAATGGGAGGAGTACAGCTGTGTAGCCCATCTGTCTGGAAGTATACAGCTGTGCCTTCATTTGTGATTGTTGGTGTAGATGCTCATGTGAGCAGCCTTACAGATTTCAGTGGAGCTGCCTGCGGGGTTCAAGCTCTTACCAACACCAGGATAGCACAGTCACGATCTTGGCAAACCAACTTTCATACAGAATTCCTTTTTCTCAGGATGTTTGCCATGTATCTGTTCTCCAACTTGTTCATTGTTTGATTCAGTGAATACTTGGCTTGCTTTAAAAAAAAAAAAAAGAGCAGATCAGATGTGTTTTTATATAATCTTGACTTTGCAGATCATTTTTCTAACAGAAAAGTAATATCTGGATCTATATGTGGAAGAGTAGGGTACCTTTGAACTTTTGTCTAAGGTTAGCATTTTTTAGGAACAAGATGAGAGATACTAGTAAGAAACACATTTGTTTTCATAAAAATCTCATTCCTTTGTCAATCACAGATTCAAATGCAGAGTAAACTCTTTATAATGATGTCTGTTAATACAGCTAACCTTTTAGTTCAAATTTAGTTCATTTGGTCAAAGACTTGGTGCTTTGTGTCCTGGATTCTGATTATTCTCTCATGAAGAATGTTATACATATGTTTAGATAGTTATATCTTAACCTGAGTATAAAGGGCTTGTTTGGTTGTGTTTTGTTGTTGTTGTTTCTTTGCTTTTTTAAAAAAAGCTGTTAAAAATACATTTTTACCAGAAAGCAGCTTTCAGAATATTTCTGACTTCTAGTGTACTGTGTTTAACTGCAAGCAGCAACTCTGCTTCACTTTCAAAAATGATATGTGAAAGGGAATCACAACAAAAAACTGAAGCAAATCCACCCAGTTATGGGAAAGAGTTTATTATCCATGACATAATGGAACTTGTTCATTTATACATTTAGTACATAAGCAAAACAAATGTTTTGGTACTTAAATTTCAGATAGATGTTCACAAATCATTACTCTGGTACAAATACATGGTACAGTGATGGTGTATTGTATTCTCTCTCCCCTAAGAAACTCAAGGGAGAGGTGGGATACAACTTGTTCAGTATATCATCTGTAGATGGATTGGTGGAGCCAGTGCGAATAAGGGCTGAATATATCACTCAGTGCCAACACGTCCTTTGAACCTTCAAAGACAGTCCTGTCAAGAAAGAGGAATAAGTAAAAGAAGAAGTGGACGGGATTTCACACGTGGAAAGTAACTGATTTCTTACTGTTCTAGGGACAGGTTCATCTCCAATGTTCTGTTCAGAGGAGTTTCCTTGGATTGACACAAAAATCCCTAAGGAGCTGGTGAAAACCTCTCTGATCTGGTTTCTGTTGCGAGATGAAATGCATACATCTGACTTGGAGAAAGGAGTGAAAAGCAGGTAAAGCGAAGACATGGCTTTCACAGGTTCTAAGTGTGCATCTGATGATAATGAATTTTGAAGAGGGTGAAATTAGTAAACAGTGTTTGCAATAGGAGGGCAAAAGTTACTCTAAGGCACCCTTTCCTGAATTAAATCGGGTCTTCTACATACTTACACAAGTTATAATCAAACATGCAGGCCATCAGCCTCTGGCTTTCTCTTACCATAGTAAGCAGTTAGCATCCCAGTCCACTCAGTGACCCAATTCTGTCCAGCTTGACACCAAAACAGCTCCTGGATACGCCCTTTTTGCTTCTGTCTTGGTATGGCTGGGGTAAACCTAGGAGCTCACCAAGGAACCTCCGGACAGCACCGTCCCCAGTGGACGTGCCCCCGGGCTGGTCCCTGGTGTTTCGGGTCCACTGGAACTCAGCATCTTGCTGATCAAAGGCATCTGTTGAGATCCTGTCATCTTGCTCATGGTCCCTTTCTTCAGAAACCAGGGGATGGTCCAATTCCTCATCTAACAATTTGGACAGACTCTGAGAGGAGAGAAAAAAAAAGAAAAGGTAGAGGGAGGAGAGATGAAAATAGAGGGGGTTTGAGATCTTTCTTACTATTTTTGCATAGGCCATGCTTGGTGATAAGTTTGGAGAAACTTTTTTTGGTCTTGTATCAAAAGATGAAAGTACTGAAGTGATTTCTGAAGCCAGGGCTGGTCATTTTTAGCTGCTTCTGACCCACTAAGCTTCTCTGAGCTAACGCTATACTCTCACAAAATGCTGTAAGGCTCTCTATACACTGTTACTGTACTCTGTTAGTTCTGAGCTGACAAACCGCTGGTTAAGTCTTTCCTGGAGCTGGGAGTCTGGGGTGTGGGATGATTTGTGAAAGGCAATGAAAGAGGCTTGATCAAGAGTGAATATATAAAAAGAAAAAATGGTTTGGATACTTTGGAATGATATGAGTAGACAGAAGACATGCTGAAATTGGTGCTAGAAGGATTTTATGTGTTTTTTGCAGGTTAGGAGGTTACTTCATATTTGGGAACACCAGATCACTAGTCAGATAACTGAAATGTGTTTGTTTTTTTTAAATGACTTGGAATTCCTACACACAAATACACCCCTGTGCATGCACTTTCTTCCTAATGCTCTTCCTCTGGGGTTGCATTGCTGCACTGCAGAGCCAAGGAGGCAGTCTTCTTCTTAGTCACACAGGCCCAATCCATTAATTCTATTTTCAGTTTAAAGTAGGGCTTTGAGGGAAGACTGTGCAGTTGACTGCTCTAGAGCTATAGTTAGAAGTCCTTCAGGGCAAATTTCTTCCACTTGAGAAGTCTGTTGCTTCACTCAGTCATATAATGACCCTAAATTTGCAATCCCCAAACTGACCCCACAGAAAAATTAATTAATTTCAATTCCATTAATTGGTCAGAAGTTTAAATCCATTAATTGATTACTTCAGTTTCCCTCCACATAATAACTGTTTGCCCAACTCCTGCTTGTTTGCTCAATTCCTGCTGTCATGACCTCTTTGAATGTTTCCTACTGCCTTAGCTGGGGTTGGAAGAAAAATAGCTAATCTGAAGTGCCTTAATCCTAATAACATCAGTTTCTTTCAGTTCTATTGAGCAGCCAGTCACTTACCTGTAAGCTGGAAATAGTCTTGGTCTTTGCCTGGTTCTGACTGACAATAAGCAGCAGGAGGAATCCAGGGCAAAAAAGAAGTTTCAGGTTCATCTTTGTGTTTTGCTGTCTCTGTTTCCTCCTCCCCTTGAGTCACTCCACTTCAGTGCTGCTCTGTGTCTCCAGCCACCAGCTTTTATATCTTACTCCAACCCCTCCCAAGTCTACCTTTTGAGTTCCAGCCAGTGCAAGGATTGGTTTGAGGTTCTGATCTGTTTTCATCTCCCAAGAGGAGGAGGAGGAGGGAGGAAATAGTTATTCTTTTTTTTCTGGCATGGAATGAAAGGAGCATTTTACACTTAGGCAATGCAGTACCATTCTCTTGCTGTGAAGCTGAAGGTCTCTGCAGCCTGTGATCTTCCTGCCACTTATGTATGTCAGTTTGCTTAGCTCAGTGCTCCTTGTGTTGATCACTAAACCTTTCCTTTGTCTCCAGGAAAAAAAAAAAAAAAATCCTTTCTGAGTCAGTATTTCTCTTACAATTATATTTGCTACTTATTCACCTGATTCCTTTGTCACTGTGAAGTATTAAATCAGAGGGACAAGGGTCTCAACATATGTTATTAGGAACTAAATATTATTACCTAATATGATAATATGGCATTAGTAACTCATGAGAGAAAAGTGTAATTTGGAGAAGGGAAATCCAAGTCCTAAAAATATGACAAGTGGTGTTACAGTGTAAAATCTTACTGGCCTGAGTGACAGGGAGCATGGCTGAAACCAGGCTGACATGCATAGAAAGATCCTCCGTGGCTTAAGGTGAGGCAGGAAGCAGTCTTCTCCCCTGGATACAACTTAAATCATTTCCTCTGTGTTTTCTTTTTCTTAGGCAATTCATAATAAATATTAAATTAGTCTGACAGGAAGCACAGCTCAAACATCTTTCTTACCATGTGTACGGTTACATTAAAAAGCTGTGTTTAGTGTATTCTCTCATTTTTATTCTTATTTTACTCTGTGTGTGTGTGAAGTGAACTGATGCACCAGCTTCACGTAAATGGATTTTGTGAAGTGTTAGGGGGAGCAGAAGAAATAGAATCAGTTCTTAGCCAGGGCCTCAAGGGTATTTAAATCATCGCTGTTGGCCAGACCTCTCTCTAGTGTAGAGGACCTGGTAGACGTGTGAGTGCCCTGATGAAGATATATGTAGCTAATTGATCCTCCAAACACCATCTCTTCTGATGAGCTTTTTACTAGGTTACAAATCAAGAAATGACTATTCCTTGGGCAATGGGGAAGAGCAGCAATGACATTTGTTATGTGTTTTCTGGGTGCTAGAAATTTGGCCCCCACTGAAAAATGAGAATGTTCATGAGTACACAGCAATACATCTTGGTCTTTTACTGCATTTTTCCACACATGTGGTGCAGAAAGTTAAAGGCCATTAGTCTGGATCTGTATGGAGGAAATGGAAATGAAGGACCATCTGGCACTTTTCATCATATCTTTGAGGTTAAGATTCTTGTTGGTACTGAAAGCTTGGAAAAAATAATTCTGTGATGTGCCAGCAGGTTTAACATTTTCAGCCTTTTTTCATCTGCAGATTACTTGAAGACGTAATAGTTACATGTCTCTAGAAGTAGGTATTCTAAGGAGACAACTTATAAACATTCCTCTATCACAGAAAAGGAGGCCTGATGTTATTACATTGTTGGGATTTTTTTGTTGTTAATGTTGATTAAAACCACATTTGATCTGAATCTTATTAGAAAATGAAATCATAGCACAACTTCATCAGTGGCACATGAGCATTCCTCCTGGAGAAAGTAACTTCTCATTTCAGAGGACTGAGGTATGTACTTTGCAGTGTAACAGGATATTAGGAGAAGGTCAGAGCAGTTTCAGGCTCTTCTTTCTTTAAAAATCAGAGGGTTGTTTTGTTCATTTGATGGCTTGTTACAAGTCTCCATATATGTGGATAATTAATCTCCTTGGTAAACTTCTTCGAACTTTTTTTCCTGTTTGAGCTCAGGACTTATAACTGTTTTATGAGGCTTCTGAACGGTCTCTCTGCTAACTGTTGGAAGCTAGCACTTGCTAGCTCCACTAGCACAGTGGTGTCCTTATCCATGACCATGATGGTAAAAATAATAGAATAACTAAGATTGGAAAGGATTTCTGGAGGTCTTTGCTCCAAACCTGTACTAAAAGCAGAGCCAACTTGGATTAAATTGCTCAGTGCCTTGTCAAGATGAGTTTTGAAAGCCTTCAAGAAAAGAGATTCCTACAACCTCTTTGGGCCCTGTTTCAGCATTTGTCCGGCCTTGTGAACAAAGTTATTTCCCAATATCTAGTTGGAATTTCCCTTGTGCAACTTGTCATTGCCTCTCATCCTAATGCTGGTCCATAAACAGAACAAAAGGATGTTCCATCTCTCAAATCAATGCTACTCAGTGTGACTGCATTTCACTGTGCTGCATTACCTAGAGAAGGAGGATATCTTCGATCCATCTCGTCTGCAGCTGCCTTCAAATCAGACTTATTGCAATGGGCAGAAGTAGTTAGAAATAGAAAGCCATCCAGCAAAAATCTCTCCTTTACTGTCTGGGTCTCTTCAGGGTTCTGATTAGCATCAGAAGTCAGTGTCTGAATGTTCACAGCAATTTCAATAATTACGATTGGGATGGTAGAATTAAAAGGGTTTTCAAAAATAAACATCCTATAAGAAAGGAGAAACTCTTGAGAGCAGCAGAAATTATTTAGGGGGGCAGGAATTAATAGCTTTGTGGCCATTTCTGATGTAACTAAGTGTTCATTTGCTTGACAAGTCCTCCGTATAGGGTAGAAGGAGGTATGAAGAAGGCAGGTTGGCATGTGTTACTCATCTCCAATGGGATTTTTTTTCCTAGTTTACTGAGATGCTTCTGCTGCACCAGCAGAGATCTTATTAAAAAGAACAGGGTTAGGGCACACTGTTCCTATTAGGGATGTTTCTGCCCCATCTCTGCAGGCTGCTATGAGAAAGCCGGGTCCTAAATTTGATAGCATGTGGCATGCTTAGATAGTGTCATTAGAGCACTGCCACGGTAACTCATTATCCTCCTCTTTCCTAGCTCAGTGACCCCTTTCAGTCTCCCCATCCTTCCCAATTGCTCAGGCCAACATTTCCTGGCTTGCTGCAGCTGACTGAAAGGGCAGTGACGCGTTTGTAGTGCTTTCGTCAAAAGGGGATCGCCAAATTCTTCATGGAAACTGGCACAACGGGGCCCCTCATTATAAGACATTAACATTTAGCTGTGGTATCCAAGCAATTCCCTGGTTGTTCCCCTCCTTTGCCCTGTCCTGAGTCTTTTAGTAGCTGAGCTTGGCTGGTAATTACCCAGCCGC